ATCCAAATAGAGTAGGACCCCAAAAAGCCAGTACATGTCCTAGAGGCAAATCCCAGTGCCATTATCATTGGCTTCTCAGTCTGCCTCAATTGTGAGCCACATTCAGAGGGTCCAGTTTGATTGCATAGTTCTGACTTCCTTGGTCATATTCTCCCTCCTGCTCTTCAACTGGACCTTGGGAGCTCAGTTCTGTGCTCTGATGGGGTGTCCGTCTCTATCTCGATCTGTTACTGGAGGAAGGTTCTATGGTGATATTCAGAAAGGCATCAGTCTGATACGGGACCAGGCCAGTTCAGGCACCTTCTCCTCCACTGCCCAGGGTTCTAGTTGGGGACATCCCTGTGTACATTTGGGAACAACTCTAGAGTCAAGCCTCTTGCCAACCCCATAATGCCTCCCTTAATTAAGATATCTTCTTCCTTGCTCCCATATCTGCCCTTCCTCCATCTCAACCATCCTGCTCCCCCAATCTCTCCCCAACCCTCCCCTTTTTCCTTCTCTCTCTCCCTCTCCCCTTCCCCTACCGCCACCCCCATTCTCCTATCTTTTGCCTGGTGATCTTATCTCTTCCAATTTCTAGGAGGATCTATATATATGTTTTTCTTTCAGTTCACCTTATTACTTAGGTTCTCTAGGATCCTGAACTATAGGCTCAATGTCCATTGTTTTTGGCTAGAATCCACTAATGAGTTAGTACATACCATATTCATATTTTTGGGTCTGGGGTATCTCACTCAGGATAGTGTTTTCTAAATCCATCCATTTGCATGCAAAATTCAAGATGCCATTTGTTTTAAGCACTAAGTAGTACTCTAATGTGTAGATGTGCCACACTTTCTTTATCCATTCTTCCATTGAGGGGCATTTAGGTTCTCTCCAGGTTCTGGCAATTACAAATTACATGATGACAGGGTTCAGAAAGAAATAAAAGGCTTGAGAAGGATGGTAATCTCGCTATTGTGCAGATTAGGAACTATGCAGATACAGGACCCTTGTCAGAAGAGCAATACTCTTCCTACAGTAATAGCAGGCTTAGATACACCCACACTTCAGACTACACTGAAAATGAAACAGAGGCATAAAAATAGCAACGAATCTCTTCTACAGGTTTGTATCAGTGAAGCTGCTAGCAGAGGAGAAGGGATGCAAGGATTTCAATTGTTCCCAGTAATGGAGCAGAGAGATGCACAAGTAAAGTGCTTAGAATACATACTCCTATATCATTTAAATTACTCAAAGAATTAAAAACCGCTTGTGCTCAATATGGCGCCATGGCATCCTTTACCCAGACACTGGTGGAAAATATAGCTGTAGAAGATCTGCCATCTTCCAAGAAGGATTGGAAGCAGATAGACAAGGCTTGTCTGTTAGAAGGAGATTATCTATTGTAGAAAACCGAATTTACAGAACAATGTCAGGCCACAGCTGAGAGGCACAGAGCCCAGCAGATTCCTATTTCCATATGAGATGCTTGCAGGTGAGGGACAATATACGGGAACAAATTAACAGTTAGATTATGATATAGCGGCATATGTCCAAATTAGTGCAGCGGCCAAGAAGGCCTGGAGTAAACTTCTACCATCAGAAGAACAGACTGAGGAGTTATCTAATATAAGACAGGGACCAGATGAGTTATTTCAGAACTTTGCTTCCAGATTAACACAGGTGTCTAATAGGTTAATTGGAGACTCAGAAGCAGGACAGATAATAATTAATTAAACAGTTAGCATTTGAGAACGCCAATGCTGTATGCAAGGTGGCTATAAGGCCTTTTAAGAAACAGATTAATGTTGCAGATTATATCTGAATTTTCTTGGAAATTGGCCAACCATATACAAAGGAATCGTCTTAGCTGCTGCCTTACAGGGAAAGGCAACTAATGATGACTTATGTCAGCAGGAAGACCTAGTTCCAGAGAGAATGCAAGCTACAGGGATGCCTGGAGGCTGCTTTGGATGTAGTCTCATTGGACATCAGGTCAGATGATGTCCTGATAGAAGAATAAGCCTGAGAACTAGAAGAGAACCAGGATTGTGTAGGAGATGCAGGAGAGGAAAGCATTGGGCTTGTGAGTGCAGATCAAAAACAGAGGATCTAGGAAAACCCCTTTCTGGAAATGGACTCAGGGGCCAGCCTCAGGCCCCAGCACAGAATTATGGGGCAATCCAGCAATCTGTACCGCACAATGAAATCTAAACAGGACCCTTTCAGGGCAACCCCAGGAAGCACAGGGCTCAACTGCAGTTCTTCTGTATATATGGTTCTAATACCTGAAATGTGGATGCAAGCTCTTCCCACAAGGATCTATGGGCTTTTACCAGAAGGCACTGCAGGGTTATTGTGAAGGAGAAGTACCTCAGCTATGCAAGGGATCTTTGTGGCTCCTGGAGTTATTGATGCTGGTTATGAAGGAGAGATCAAGGTGATGACTCACTCACCAAGTGGAGTTTCTGTAGTAAAAGCAGGTCAGAGGCTTACACAATTAATATTACTTCCAGCTGTGTATTACTTCCAGCTGTGCAAACCAATAATCAGAGTAAGAAAGAAAAGATGTAAGGACAGATTTGGGTTGTCTGATGCATATTTGGTACAAGCCATAGGTCCTCAGAGACCAGAACTCACTTTGTTTAGAAATGGAAAAAGATTTTCTGGCCTTGTAGATACTGGCGCAGATATTTCAGTTATAACCACCAGTCATTGGTCTTCTAAACGACCCAAAATAGAGACTATTTCACAGCTACAAGGAATCATTTTGGAAATCAGTAGGGCAGTTCCTCAGAAAACCTGGAATCAAGCTACCATAAGATCAGACTATACAACTCTCGAGCATTTATTCAAAGGATGTCCAAACACACTAGAACGAGACTTACTCAACTATGTTCATAGCAGCTTGTTTGTAATAGCAAGAATGTTGAAACCATCTAGATGACCCTCAACAGAGGAATGGATAAAGAAAATGTAGTACATTTATACAATGAAGCATTACTCAACTGTTAAAATCAATGACATCAAAAAATCTGAAAGCAAATGGGTGGAATTAGAAAAAGTTTTCCTGAGTGAGGTGACCCAGACTGAGGAAAGAAAAATATGGTATATGTTCACTCATGAGAAGAGATTAATTGTAAAATCAAGGAAAACTGACCCTGAGAAACTAGTTAACAAAGAGTCTTGAAAAGGGGACAACCAGATTTCACTGAGAAGGGGAATAGAAAATGTATCATGAATCAAATGCAGATAGGTTAGGATGTGAATGTTAAAATTCAGGTTCGGGGGCATCAAAGATGCAAGTACTGAAAAAGAGTACTGGAAAGAGGGGCCATTTCTCAGTCAGACAAAATCCTGATGCAAGAGAAACTCCCAGGAATCTACAAGGATGACATCAGCTAAGATTCTTAGGAATAAGGGATATGTAGCCTCCACTGGCCATCTCCTGTGATCAGACCAGGCTTCAAGGGGATGGAGTGGGAAACCAACCCAGTCACATAACCTTTGGTCTATAGCCTGTCCCGTGTGCTGGATTAAGTGTTTCCTAGAGATTGGGGTTTCTATTGTTATAATGAAACACGATGACCAAAAAGCAAGTTGAAAGGACAAGGTTTATATGACTTATACTTCAGGTTTGCTGTTCATCATTGAAGGAAGTCAGGAAAAAAACTCAAACCTGGCAAGAACCAGGAGGCAGAAGATGATGCACAGGCCATGGAGAGGTGCTGCTTACTTGAACTTTCCCATGACTTGTTCAGTCTGCTTTCTTATACAACAGAGGAGCATCAGTCCATGGGTCATACCACCTCTAAAGGACTGAGCCTCTCAATCTGTCACTAATTAAGAAAACACTCTATAGGCTTGCCTACAGCCAGATCCTATTGAGGCAAATTCTGAATTCAGGTTCTCTCCTCTCAGATGAGTCTAGTTTGTGACAAAATGACATAAAACTAACCTGCACAATGGTTCGTGAAGCTATGGACATGTTTTTAAACTCATATTTCTAATGACTTACAGTGGTGACAATTAATTACATATATACTCTAAGGTCAAATTTGATATTTTAATGTCAGGGTCAAAAAATGTAGGCATCAAAAGTCTATAAACATTTTAGAGCTAAAGCAATGACAAGTGAAAAGCACAAATGATAGTGAATGTGAGGAAATATCAATAGTGATAAAACCCAGAAAACTGACAAATATTAATATGGAGTATGGAATAGATCATATGAGTTGGTAAATACTGAATTTCTTGAAGTTTATCATTTCAATATGATGTTATAATAGAAATATCTTAGAAAATATTTATGGACAGTTTAGTATTATTATTATCGCCATCATTATTATTACGCTTCATGAGACAGAGTCTTTTTCTGTTGCCCATGATGGCTTGAAGCATACTATGTATCTCAGACTGCATTCATTAAGTCTGAGCCATGACATACAGATGGCCTCAAAGAACATTCCTCAATCTAGGAGATTTCAAATTATCAACAAATTGGTCAGACAGAAAGAGAAAGAGAAAAAGGAAAGAGAGAAGAGGAGAAGGGAGGAGAGAGAGAGTGGGAGGGAGAGAGAGAAAGAGAGAGCAGAATTACAAACTCTAAGCAACAAAGTGACAAATAGAATCCCAAAACTGCATCCTAGTTCTTAATTGTGAAGTCAAAGCAGTGGAATATTGAAATGGTTTATCATAGTGATGATGAGTTACATGTGATATTAATCAGGGTTCTGCATTTGTTTCTGTGTGACATTCAGGAAACTAATGTCAGGAATTCAGGAATCCTTAGGGCTTGGAACATAGGACATCAGTTCTCCAGACCTAAGTTCTGTGTTGAGTAGGAAGAAGGATGACTTATGGTGTGTTGTTAAATTTAAGCAGAACATTCCTTTCATTTCCAGCTCATTGCCATATTTGATCAGCTGACTGAGTGCTGTGGTCAAAACATTTAGTCATTAAGCAGACACAAATCATCACAGGATACCAGCAAAGATAATAAAATGTTCCACTTTTTATTTTCCCTTCTTATTGCACTCTGAATCAGGAAGAATATCCATTCTCTTTTCACAGATGCAGGGGTGTTTTGTAGCACAGTCTCCTTCATGTATTCCTCGAAAACTGAGACATGCACAGCCTCCATTTTCCTTTAATAATTTTAATTTCATCAAATCTCTATAAAGCAAAACATATAACGGGCTGTTATTAAAATATGAATCTTATATTGGTGTATTTAATAATTTTAAAAACAATAATATTAAAAAATATATAGAATATGAATTTAATTGTTAGTATTTTACTAAAGGTTTTTTTGTTTGCTCTAAAGTCATATAAGAAATATATTAGACTAGTGACATGGCTCAGTGCATGGAAACCATTGCTACCAAACCTGATAACGTGAGTTTAGACCTCAGATACAACATAGTAGATAAAGAAAAGTGACTCCTTCAACTGCTTTCTAACTACTAATGTGTTGTGAAATGGGCACACAGTTGTGCCCATTTCATTCATAAAAATATTTATTTATTTTTATTTATTTATATTTATATTATAAACAAAAATAGTATCTTGATCACAATTCAACTCCTTATAGATTCCACTATGTTAATTTTTCATCTTCAAGTAAATATATTTGCTTTCACCAAAAGATAATTTCAGAATAAAGTTGATTTTCTATGATGCTCTTTGCAATAAAGACATTTTAAAAATAAAAATGAATAAATGTGGAACACAGGACAAGGTGTCATGGTTTTGGCAACACTGTGAGATTTAACAAGGCTAGACTAATGAAAATCTGTGTGAAAGAAGGTAAATCAGTGAATGAAATCCATACTGTATAGGCTGAGATGTCATAAGAATAAAACTTCAACAAAAGTTCATTTTCTGAGCTCTGGATTTAAGTTAGGTAAAAATAAAGTATTTAGAATTACCACAGTAACAGCAAAAGACATAAATTATGCTAATTGGTATTTGGGCATAGACTGAACAGGTAAGATAAAATAGAAATGAGTACACACATTAGTCAATCATGAGGTGTGATTATGGGTACAATCAATTAGGCGCGTGTATTGAAAGTTGGGAAAGAGGAAAAGACCCAGAAGACAGTAACTACTCAAAATACACATGAATCACCATGAGTTCTAAACTTTACCTCCAAGGTGATGCCCACCTCAGCCTCTATACAAGAAACACAAGTTAAGTTCACAGCTACTTACTAGGTCCATTAGAAGCTGACATTGTATCAGGTGTCTGCTGCATTTTTACACTGGAGGAAATGCCTGTGTTGGTGAAAGAAGACTTTTCACCACCAGGCTTTTAAACTGAATCATCAAGAGTGGCTTTAGTGCTCATACCACCTTCAGCAGAGAGTTCTGTAGCATAGTCAAGGTCTACAAAGATGTTTTAACCTGAATGTAGGTATCCTCCCAGCCACTGATACCGCACTCCACATATTTCCACCTGCCCATCTCTGACTCTGTATAATCCTGTAGACTATAAATAAATTAATTAACACTGTGGCCAATCATGGTGTTAAACGCCATCAATCCAAGTGCTTGGGAGAGAGATGTAGGAGGAGCAGGGCTCGCTTGTATCAAATGATACTTAAAATATAAGAACCAAAACTAGTAATAAAAGCAAAAATAGTCTGTGTTCTTTGAATATATTATAACATCTTGTAAGAATGTCTGTCTCCTGGACCCCTTGGTGACAGCCAGCTTAAGAGTGTCTTTGGAGGAGAGAGGAACTTAATTTCCTGTTTATTTGTAAATTAACTGTCCATTTTGGCATTATCATATTTAAATAAAACTGAGCCAGACCTGCAATGTTCCCAGACACTGAATGAAATATCCCTGAGATAGTTATCAATGTGGATATTATGCTTCAGACAGTTTCTATGGCTGTGGAAGAAGAAACTCAGTAAATACAGGAAAGAAAATGGCATTATGAGCACAAGCCTGCAGAAACAGTACATTAAATCCATAGAACTTCAGACAGTAGGATTAACAACTAACATACGCGAAATAAGAATGGTTGCTATCTCTCCAGAGAAAAAGGACACTGTAGGGTGAGTCACAGCTCCCCATAGTCCCAAAATATCAGGATTCCAAGACCAGTATGGGACAATTGAATCTCTGTCTAAAAACAAGTATATATGTGATATCAAAGTATCAAAGGCAATTAAAACATAATTAGCTCCTCTTTTGCTGGTGGGAGTGCAAATTTATACAGTCACTTTGGAAGTCAACCTGGTTATTTCTCAGAAAATGGATAATTGACTTATGTCAAGAGCCAGTTATGATACTCTTGGGCTTATACCCAAGTGATGCCTCTTACCACAAAGGGCATTTTCAAATGCATTCATAGTGGCTTTTTTTTTATAACAGCTGGAAACTGGAGCCAACGTAGACATTGATCACAAGAATAATGGAGAAAAGTAATGTGGTAAATTCACACAATGGAGTAGTGTGAAACTGTTTAAAACAAGAACATTAGTGAACTTTCCACAAAGTGGATAGAACTTGAAAACTTCATTCAGAGAGAGATAACCAAGATTCAGAAAGAAACATAATATGTACTGACTTATAGGTGGAGTTTAACCATAAATGAAAAAATAATTATGCTTCAATGCACAGACCCATGAAACTAGGTAACAAGGAGGGCTCAGATTCAGGGGGATTGCACAACAAATTGCTCTGTGAACAAGAGGTAGAATAGTTATAATGGGTGGATTTGGGTAGGTGGGCATGGGAACAGGAGTAATCTGGTTTGGGGAAAGGGCAGAAGAGAATACTTGGAAAGATAATTGGAATGAGGATCATTTGTGGTCTGAGTTAGAAACCTAGTGCAATGGAAATTTCCAGGAATCATTGAGGGTGACTTTATCCAGAATTCCTAGCAATGGGGGATATAGAGTCTGAACAGGCTATTTTCTTAACTAGGCAAAACATTTAGTGGAGGGATTGAGATCCCATCCCAATCATGTAACATTTGATCTACAAATTGCCTTGTCTATAGGAGATAGTGGGGTAAAGGTGTAGCAGAGGAAATGGGAATGGACAATCAATGACTGATTGAGTTTGAGACTCATGCCATGAGGGGGATCCCACCCCTAAAACTGCCTGAGTCTGGACAGTACAGAGACCTAGGTTAGACCCAAATATGAGCGGCAAGAAATGTCAATAAAATGAGTCCTATTGATATACTGCTTTACTCATAGAATGTTGCCTAGTTCAATTGTCACTGGGTGCAGCAGTAGATGTAAATGTGAAGAGACACAGAGTCAAACCTTAGGTAAACCTCAGGCAGAAGAGAGGAATGATTGCGAGCATCAGAGGCACCAAGGATACCATAAGAAAACCACACAAAATCAACAAAATGTGCTCATAGGAACTCACAGAGACTGAAACAAAAAGCAGAGAACCTGCATGGGAGTGACCTAGGTTCTTTGCATATGTGTAACAGTTATGTGACTTGGACTTCTTGTCTGTGTTCTAACAGAAAAAGCATGTGTTTTCTCTGACTCTGTTACCTGCTTTCAGGACCTGACTGCTGTGGGACAATGGTCTGCATCCTGTCACTTGTATTTTAATAAAACAGTGATTGGCCAGTAGCAACGAAGGACGTATAGGTGGAGTGGCCAGGCAGAAAGTAGAGGTGGTGCAATGAGAACAGGAGAATTCTGAGAAGAGGAAAAGAGGCAGTCTGCTGTCTTTTTCCAGATGTAGGGGAAGCAGAATGAGAAGGATTCACTGGTACATGAAGCAAGTCATGTGGCTAACATAGACAAGAATAATGGGTCAAATTAAGATGTAAGAATAAGTTAATATGTATCCTGAGCTAATAGGCCAGCTAGTTTCTAATTTATTTAGTAGAGATCTGTGTATTTCTTTGGTGCTGCTCAACGGTAGGACCAAGTGGCACAGAAACCTCTGTCAACAAATGGCATCAGTGTGTGCAGCTAAATTCATTTAAACCCTGAGAGAATTTGGGAAGTAATCACAGAAACAAAAGAACATAGTTGTGCATGGATTCTTGGTAGTACCTTTTTCTCAGGTGGGTTCTGTTTGCAGGAGTTATGTGCATCTCAATTAAGAAAGTCTTCTTAACTCAGCTTTAGCTGCAAACTTGCAGCCCTTTTAAGAGGTCCCACCATGAAATACTTAAATGGTGTTGACGAATAGTCAAACATATGCGTTTTGGTGGTGGTTGAGACCTTGAAACTGCATAGATTGGAATAAACATGACTCTGGTCAGTACCTCTTCCATGAGGCTAGACTCTCAGAAAGCTAAGGAATGGGGTAGAACCATCAAATCCACATCCTTAATGCTAACTTTATTGATTAACAAATTAAAGAGTCATGTGGTCAGAATACAAAGAAATATACAGTAGAGAAAGGTTTAGATGAAGAAAACCTCTAAATGTTTTCCAGTGGGTTTAAAAATATATGTAGGTTAAGTAGAGAAAGAAAAAGGATAGAATCCTTAAAATAAAAAAAGGAAAGAGAGTAGTTGGATGTGGTTGCACACACCTTTATTCCCAACACTTGGGAGGCAGAGGTAGACAGATCTCTGTGAGTTCAAGGTGTAGTGGCACACACTTAATCCCAGTACATAGGATGCAGAAGTAGGCAAATCGCTGTGAGTTCAAGGACAGGCTAGTCTATATATTGAGTTGCAAGACAGCCAAAGGTATAGAAAAGACACTCTGTCTCACAAAGTCAAAAATTAAACTACAAATAAAAGAATTCGAACTAAAGTCACATAAAGATGAAAAATACACAGAGAGTTTGTGTGGGATTTCCTTCTGTTTGTGTGTTGCTTTCACTGATTAATGAATAAAGAAACAAACTTGGTATAGTTAATAGTGCAGAATTTAGGTAGGCAGTGAAGATGGAACTGAATTCTGGGAGGAAGAAAACAAAGTCAGTGAGATGCCATGGATTGTCTGCCTGAGACAGATGCCAGTTAGAAATTTTCCAGGTTAGCAATTGCCACGTGAAGATACACAGATTAATAGAAATGGTTAAATTGGAGATGTAAGAGTTAGCCAATAAGAAGTTAGAGCTAATGGTCCAAACAGTGTTTTAATTAATTAGTTTCTGTGTGGTTATTTCAGGTGTAAGCTAGCCAGGGAGCCAAGGTTAACAAGCATCCCTCTCCTTACAATAATTTGCACAAACGTGATGGACTAAATCTCCTTAAAGACCTGAGAAAGCTTAATTTTAAACACACACACACACACACACACACACACACACACACACAAGAAAGAGTTTAACACAGCTTTTGGCTATTTGCTCCTTGATTGCCACAACTCCTTTGAGAGAGATTTTCCTGGCTCAGTCACAGCAGAATAAAAGCGGTGGTTTTAAAATGCTGGCTTTCTAGGCTGCTGCTGCCATGGGTTCTGACTCTTTAAGGGCAGGAGGTCTGGCTACAGAACATTTGAGTTGGGTTTGTGAGCAGCATGCTGCATGCAGTTTGCTTGATGGCTATGTGGACACGCTGTGTGCCTGGAAGTGGGGCAGTGCGCTTGGCTCAGAAGCACAAGAGACTCAGAGGCACAAAGGTCTTCCCCATGCTGGACTGTGCAGAGCCAGTAGGAACTACCATATTTATCATAGTAATAACATAGCTTAAGTTTTAAACTGGGCAGGCAAACAGACTAAACAGGGGTACAGTATTACACCTATTAATGGCACAACTTAAGTTCATAAGAAGTGTTTAACATTTTAAGAAGTGCTCCTGGACAGTAAAGAATTACAGATACACAGGACAGATTGAGACATAAATTATCTATAAATGTGACACAGTATTGGATAAATGTACATAGTCTTGGGAGACAGAAGAAAAAGAGTATAGAGAGTTATAAAATAAAGCTAATGGTTTGAAAAAAACAGTAAAGTCCTTAAAAAGACAGAGTACAGATAGTCGCAGATTAAAAGGAGGAAAGAAAAATAAGCCATATAAAAATGGTAAATTCAAAGAGTGTCTGGATTATGTAATATTGTGTTATTTTTAAATCTTTTGATTTCAAAGGAGCTAAGCACATAAAGAAATTGTGTTGTATGGGCTGCTAAGCTAAACCAACATATATGTTCTAAAGGTATCATGATTTCCAAATTTGAGTCTAAGAATGTGTTGCTTGGGAAAAGAGGTTTTTGTTTGTTTTCAAAGAAGATGAGAACCTGTGGATTGCGTCCAGGCGAATATGGTTTCATGGACCAAGGCCTCCTGTAAGGTTGCCATAAACATTCTCAAAAAAAAAAAAACCCCACTTAGCCCAACTAATGACTGAGATAAACGTAACACGCAGAATATACCATGAAAGACGTGATTAACAGTACACCCAAACAGCTGGAAGCAGTATGAACAGAACCACTTGCATATTCCCAAATATTGTTTATAAATGTTCTTTTACATTTAAAGGATGATATGAGATAGATATGAATAATTTGCATTGGTATGCATATTGGTTCATGGATGCAAATTTAAGGTCTATTTTATTATTTGTATATGCATTTCTGATCTTGATTTGGGTATTGAGATTGTGTAGCTCATTTAAAAAATGTAATGTATGATAAAAATATAGATTAATAGATAGTCATCTATAATAGATGTTAGTAGTCATGTTAGTTAGGTTTTCTAAATATATAAAGATATATATCAGTTATTTAGATATTCTTCAAATCTTTCAGATACCTTCAGAATATGGCATTTAAAATATTTAGAAACTTAAGACTTTTCATGACAATGAGACACGTCTGCTTCTGGCAGCACCAAGCTACTGTATTTGCATACAGAACCATTTTAAGACTGCTGGCTGAGATGATCAAGCCTCACAGAATATTCCATCCAGGACTTGAACATAATTCAAAATTTTCTTTAGGTCCCCATAAGATTATCAATGCCTCTAATCAGCTTGAAGTAGCCTGGAAAACTATACTCATATTCTCCAAAAATGGATTATGAATGTTTGCCTTTATTTAGAATGTTGGCTACAATTTATTATGTATAATGGTAAGTAGAAAAGCTAAATAAAGAGGATTTGATTTTGAGTTCTTTTTTTTAATGGGGGTAGAACTGCTATCAGTCAATGGTCTGCAACCTGTCACTTTTTTTTAAGTTATAACACTGATTGGCCCATTAGTTTAGTCTTCTTATTAGCTCTTGTAGCTTTTATTAATCAATTGTTCTTATCTATGCTAGCCACATGGCTCGCTGGGGCTTCCTGCTTCCCAAAATACTCCAGCCCAGATCACCTAAGCAGCAACATGTGACCTGTCCTGCTATGAATGGTAATGAGCCATGTGGCTAGCATAGATAAGAACAATGGGTTAATACAAGCTACAAGAGCTAATAAGAAGACTGAGCTAATGGGCCAATCAGTTTTATAGTGTTTGGAGATCTCTGTGTGATTTTCTTTGGGGGTTGCCAGCTGTGGGGTACCAGGCAGGACAGAAAACCCAACACTCAGGCCCCTTCATGTTACAGGCTTTCTCACTCACAAACTCACAGCAGCTGTGATTACCTATGTGAGACTTGAACAAGATCAAACTGGGCAAAATTCCAGCATAGATGGGAAGGGATCCTCTATCTTTTAAAGAGTCACTATTGTTAGGTGACAGCTGCTGGAAGTGGTAGAAACATTTCTTATTAAGGTTTTTCCAGGTATCCTTGCTCCAGTGGGTGGCCATTAAACATGTACCAGGGGAAAACTTTGGGTACAGTAAGATGAAGCTTGAGAGGGCAAGTAGGCAATAGATACAATATTTCATTCTGTGTATGTATGAGATTTTAATATTTAATGAGAAATATTATTTATAAAGAAAATCAATAAACAGTTTTCTACCAGATCAAACATGAACAAGCTCAGAGCTTATAGAATCTTGAAATTTAAAGTAGATATGTATGTGTATATATGGATTTCTATATTTATAAATTAACAATTAAAAGCTATCTACAGAAACAAGTCATGAATGTTTAAGATACTCACACTTATTGTATCTTCCATGAAGATCAAACCACTTCACATTATCTTAAGCTTTGGGTTATTTTTTGTGCCCTGTGAATCTTACAACACACAATCCTGATGTGTTCATCATGGCCATCAACTCCTACACATTTCTATTCCCTGTCTAATACTTGCTCAGATACTGTCTTCTGCTTCTTTTCCTTACCTTTGAGCTTCATAGAAAAGGAGAAAATCCATGTGAAATGAGAGAAAAGCCTTTACACACAATCCTTCCATCTTTGGCATCAGTTTTAGAATTTAAGGATTCAGGAAACTCACAGATTAGATGGCCTATTGTCAATCCACCGCCATTTGCTTTTGTTTATCTCATAAGATAATCCAATCCAGAAAGTGTCTCTAGTAAGATGGTACTTTAGAAACTTCTGTAAGGAAAATAAATTTATCTTAAGATAACTTTTTTTCTGTTAAATGTGAAAAGAACAGCCATGACAGGTTTCAGCTATTGTTATATCACTTCTCTTCTGTCCTGTCCTCTGTCCCATCAGTTCCTCCAAGTTCATTTTTAAAGTGATTTCTCATGAGTAACTCATTTATGTCAGAACCACTTAGTTACATAAGCTTTTTAAAATGAAGCTTTAAGTGTCTAGAGATACTGCTTTTATGAAAAGATTTACCTCTGTGATTCTCAGAAAAAGGATCAGTGTATAGCCAAGAAGGCCTTAAACCTCCCTGCTTCAGACCCCTAAATATACATTGCATATCCAGCTCCTTAAGTAAGTCTGACATGTTATTAAATTATTCAAATTCATATTTTAGAAGACTATGGAGGCGTGTGAGAGCATTTATCTTAAGTGACCTCCGTCTTCAAACCAAATTCATTAAGAAGAAAAATACTGTGAAAAGCTGTGCATTATTCTCCATGGTCTAGTGAGGAATCCATGCTATTATTCATATCTGAAGGGGACAGAATTTGAGGAAGTGGGATGTTGTGGAAAAAATTAGTGTGTCTTACATGTGACATATGAGGACATGATGGCTAATAAAACCATTGAATATATTTTAGAATATGATTTTAAATTTATCAATATTTACTATATCAATGGAAATTATATCATTAATTCACATAAAAATTTATTTTGTGCTGCATTACAGCATGTTTTAAATTGGTGGAGTATTATTCATTAAGTTCTAAATGAAAAAGATTTCAAGCTGACCATTCAATCATTTCCCTAGAAAAAGATCCTCTATGTATTTGAGGATATTACTTTTTTCATTTTTGATTTTTTTTTTGTTTTTTCTAGACAGGTTTTCACTATAGCTTTGGATTCTGCCTCTGCCAATCGAGAACTGGGATCAAATGCACGAGCCACCATCACACGACTTTGAAAAGATTTCTTTATAGCGATCAGGGAAATGCAAATCAAAACCACTTTGAGATACCATTTTACACCGGTCAGAATAGCGAAACTCAAAAACACCAATGATAGTCTATGCTGGAGAGGATGTGGAATGAGGGGAACACTCATCCACTGATGGTGGGAATGCAAACTTGTGCAGCCACTGTGGAAATCAGTGTGGCGGTTTCTCAGGAAACTGGGAGTCAACCTCCCTCAGGACCCAGCAATTCCACTCTTGGGAATATACCCAAGAGATGCCCTATCATACTACAAAAGTATTTGTTTACTATGTTCACAGCTGCATTATTTGTAATAGCCAGTACCTGGAAGCAACCTAGGTGCCCCTCAATAGAAGAATGGTTAAAAAAGGTGTGGAACATATATACATTAGAGTTTTACTCAGCGGTAAAAAACAATGACATCTTGAATTTTGCATGTAAATGGATGGAAATAGAAAACGCTTTACTGAGTGAGGTAACCCAGACCCAAAAAGAGGAATATGGTATGTACTCACTCATAAGTGGTTTCTAGCCATAGTTAAAGGTCTTTGAGTCTATAATTTGTGACCCTAGAGAAGCTGAATAAGAAGGTGAACCTGAAGAAAATCATATAGTTATCCTCCTGGATATTAGAAGTAGGCAAGATTGCCAGGCAAACTTGGGTACACGAGGGGGGGTGGATGGGGGCGTGGAAGTATGGGGAGATGGTTAGGGAGAGGGGAGAGGGGGAGGATCGGGGATGGATTGGGGGAATGGGAGGGGGGAGGGATGAAGGATGGTTATGGGAGCAGGGAAGTTTATATCTCAACTAAGGGAGCCATTTTAGTGTATGCAATAGACTTGATTCTGGAGGGGTTCCCAGGCCCAAGGAGAGGTTCCCAGATTGTACTCTGGGCAGCAGAGGAGAGGATGCCTGATCTGTCCTTGGCCCATAACCATACTGATGAATATTTTGCATATCACCACAGAACCTTCATATGGCGATGGATGGAGATAGAGACAGAGACACATATTGGAACACTGGACTTAACTCCCTAGACCCAAATGAGAAGCAGAGGGAGGGAGATCGTGAGCAAGGAAAGCAAAATCAGAGGGGGCCTTCATCTGACGATGGATGGAGATAGAGATGGAGACCCACATTGGAGCACTGGAAGTCAGGACCGCGAAGGGTGCGTTCACCCACTGATACAAGGGGTCTGATCGAATGAGAGCTCACCAAGGCCAGCTGGACTGGGACTGAACGAGCATGAGATCAAACCGGACTCTCTGAATGTGGATGACATGGGGGCTGACTGAGCCCCCAAGGTCCAAATGAAGACTGAGAAGCCATTGACAATGGCACTGGGTCTTGTTTCGTCTGCATATACTGGCTTTTTGGGATCCTGGCCTGTCTGTATGTTCACCTTCCTGGACCTGGAGGGAGGAGGGAGGAACTTGGATTTCCCACAGGGCAGGAAACACTGACTGCTCTGGGGAATGGTGAGGGAGGAGAAGAAGGATTGGGGGGAGTGGGGGGAGCGGGAGGGTATTGGGAGGAGGGAAGGAAGTGGAAAGAGTGTTTTCAGATACTTGAATAAACAAGTCTAACGGAAAAAAAGAGATTTCTTTAGTGAAAATGTAAATATCTATGTCAGTATTTTGGTCATTTGTTTTCTTTTAATACTCATTTCTAATGATAGATAACATTTTGTGAAATATTAGAATATCATGAGGTAAATATTATGCACAGATTCAGTGAAAATAAGCATGATTTTAACTAAAAATATTTAATTCCATGGTTCTCATATAATCTGCAGGTTGGCCCAGAGGTCAGTTATATTCTCCACTGCAATTCAATTACTCATCTTAGGCAGTCTCACTTCTAGTTTCCAAAGAGCAAACCCAAGACATTTGCCTTTCTAGGTGTAGCTGGCACTCTATGGAGACACATAACTGTCAGTCACAGAATGTGCTGTAATAAAATCATAAAATAATAACTTCTTCAGGGAAAACATGCTTCTCAGAGTGACTGTCTTGCAGACTCATGAGAAACAGGGGAGTCTGCAAAGACAACTGACTCTTTAGTAAAGCTTCCTCATAACAGATCCTGTGTCCTGACAACTAGCCCAGGAGCAGGAGAAGTATCCTGAGAGACTCTTAATGCAGTGTTTGCTCTTATTATAGGCAACCATATCTAATCTTTGAAGGTCTCTCTTTCAATAAACCTGTCTGGGGTCAATATCTCACTCTCCAAGATTTAGAGAGTAAATAAGAGAATAAATGTGCATGTTAAGAGTCTCGTACCAGTTCATCATCCTCATCTATCTTCAAAAGGGATAAGCTGCAGTCCTGGCAGGTCAGCTTGCAGTCATTCCAATGTTTATTGTCCATGATGAAATAATAACATTTTATACCACAGCAGAACAAGTGTGCTTCATTACATTTGCCTACAACAGAGAAAAAATTGTGAAAATTCTTAATTTCAAGTATTCTATTATTAGAACAATGTATTTATTACACATCTATAACTGAGTAAAATCTCACAGCTTTCAGAAATTGAGATAATAGAATGCTGAGTGACCCTCCTACACCCATGCTTTATGCAGTACTATGTATAATAGAAATGTGAATATAATTTAAGTGTTCATTATGGATGAATCAATAGAAAAATGTATCATGTACACACAAAGGAATACTATATATCCTTCAAAGGGAAGTAAATCAAGTTGGGCAGGGCTGATGCCCATAAGCCCATCTCTACTTAGGCTGAGGCAGGAAGTTCACCTCCAGTTTGAGGTCAGCCCTGGTTAAATAGTCAATTCTAGGCCAGCATTGGATATAGAGAATATTCCAAGACAGCTTTGGTTATACAATGAAACCATTCCAAACACCTAGCACCTCACAACACTTATGAGTCTCCCAAGTGACTCCTGACTGCTGCTCACTTAGTGTTAGGACACAGCAGCTGCTGTGAGAAGATTCATTTTGAATGAAACATCAGAATCTTTGCAATGTCCTCCCTTTCTCAGAAGTCTACAAGAAAGTCTGATGGTTAGGGAGAGGGGACAGGGGGAGGACTGGGGATGGCTTGGGGGAATGGGATGGGGCGAGGGAGGAAGGGTGATTATGGGAGCAGGGAAGTATATATCTCAACTAAGGGAGCCATTTTAGGGTTTCCAGGGACTTGAATCTGGAGGGGTTCCCAGGCCCAAGGAGAGGTCCCCAGATTGTTCCCTGGACAGCAGAGGAGAGGGTGCCTGAACTACCCTTGGCCCATAACCATACTGATGAATATTTTGCATGTCACCATAGAACCTTCATCTGGCGATGGATGGAGAAAGAGACAGGAACACTGTACTTAACTCCCTAGGTCTAAATGAGAAGCAGAAGGAGGACTAAGGGAGGGAGAACCAGAAGGAACCTTCATTCGACGATGGATGGAGATAGAGATGGAGACCCACATTGGATCACTGGGCTGAGCCCCCAAGGTCCAAATGAGGAGCAGAAGGAGCGAGAGCATGAAAAAGGAAGTCAGGACTGCGAGGGTTGCGTTCACCCACTGATACAAGGGGACTGATCAAATGAGAGCTCTCCAAGGCCAGCTGGACTGGAACTGAACGAGCAAGTGATCAAACCGGATTCTCTGAATGAGACTGACATGGGGGCTAACTCAGAAGCCATTGACAATGGCACTGGGTCTTGTTTCGTCTGCATATACTGGCTTTTTGGGATCCTGATCTGTTTGGATGCTCACCTTCCTAGACCTGGAGGGAGGGGGGAGGAACTTGGAATTTCCACAGGGCAGGTAACCCTGACTGCTCTTGCTCTTGGGACTGGAGAGGGAGGAGGAGAGGGATTGGGGGGAACGAGAGGGTGAGGAGGGGAGGAAGTGGATATTTTTATAAATAAATAAATAAGTAAATTAAAAAAAAAACATCACCAAAAAAAGAAAGTCTGTCAGAGAAGCGTGGGTGAATTTGAAGTTAGAATGCAAAGTGAAACAAACTGGGGCCAGAACCATGCTTTTTGCTTCCACTGAGATGAGGTTTCTAACACAGTTCAACTCTAAGAAGCAGAGGTTTCTAAGATCCCAGGAGCCAGAGTGATGAGAAATGAGTACTCGGTGCTCAGAGGCTGTTACATGTAGGATGCAATGGAGATCTGCAGCAATGCACTGTGCCCACAGTGGCCCACCTGCTATTGTGTACGTACAGCTGTGCTGTGGTGTATGTTAGATGCTTTTACCTTAATTGGAATAAGAGACATATAAGGAAACTTTGGATAGTGATCTTGTTCACTTGCCTTCAATAGTACACTCACATGCCCCAAGGTGTCAAATTTGAATACATTAAAACATGTATGGTTTCTCTAGCTACATTACAATGCCATTTATTTGTTTGCTCTGGTGGTGAGGATACCCTCTCTCTATTAATAAACCTTTATGTTCAACCTGTTTTTCTGTGCAGAGGTAACATCAGCGTATAGTTCAGGCTGCCTTGAAATGTCCTGGACACCAAGACTGTTCTCAAATTTTCAATCATCCTTCCTCTGTGTTGTAATCACAAGCATTGCAGGGCTACCACTTAGAGGAGATAGCTATTTTATTCTAATATAATAATACAAAACATTTTTGATGAGTCCAGAATGACTGAATAATTATTTTTGGAGCTTTATTTTTTTATTTAGTTTATTTAATTTATTCATTTATATTTTATATTTACTAGTTTTAAAGATATTATTAGTCTTTGAATGGTGAAGATGGTCAACTCCTGCTATCAAACACTGAAATTACAGGCAAGAGTTCTTTGTGAACACTAAATTCTGAAAAAATACTTCATAATTAATGGTAAACTGTGTCAATTATAGCTAACCAGTCATGATGCAAGGGAAGATTCCTTGTAATATTAGATAATTTCGTCTTTGTGTCACTGATAGACACACACCAGTGTGAGCATCGTGGTGAAGCTCTCATGTGCACTGTGGGGAAAACAACTTTCTGATACCAAAGCAAAAATAGTACAAACAGTTATTTTTATGACAGTGTCCATGTAAATGTTCTTAGTCCATTTCAGCTTAGGAATTTGGAAAACATTCTCTTACTGGAAACTCCCACATTCTGTTAACAACTAAAGAGAGACCCAGCTTTGCTCACAGATGAAAACAACTTGAATTCTCAGCTGTGCTGGTTTGAGTTTCCCTTCTTGGAAGCCGTAGGAGACAGAACAGTCACTGAGTTCTAGAAAGTGTAATATGTTCCTAATTCAAACAGGGATTTCTGGGGTTCCAAGCCCCTATACGATATAAGGAAACCCAACCATTAACCCACACATCATCAGGACTATAACCTGATAACTGAATGTCAAATCTTCTGGAGAATAATCAATACACAATAATCCAGTTCCTTATTCAAGATCTGCTCCTTACCTGTGTACTTTCTGTAATCTAAAACAGCCTTAGTTTTCCCACAGCATCTGTTCAGTTCCTCCTGATTTTTGCAGTCTTTATAATCTGATGATGTATTTGTCAATGTTTTATTAAAGAAGCTGGTATTTTGTGCAGTGCTTTGATCAAGGTTGTTTTGACATTTCATTAGCTCATATTTATCTTGAAAAACTGAAATAAAAAAGATATAACTCAAAATGGTTATTAATACTAAATATTGAAATTTAGTATATAAGAAAAGGCCTCATGTTGATAACATCTGCCATTGCTTCAATTGCTATTTTGACATTTTTTAAAATAACATCTCACTCACTCACTAAAGAGACGGAAAACCAATTTCTACCAGAAACTTCAGTATAAAGTAAATGATAAAGCAGAATTAAATTATGGTGGGAGCATATTACCCCACAATCCCTTCAATTTTTTTCCCCACGTAAAACTTACAAATAAATATCTAACTAACGAACTCAGTCAACCTTTAACATACACTAAAAATGTGAATTAAGAAACATGTAGATATGGCACAATTCTCCAAGCACCAGAGGAGAAATATAATATCCTTGTGTGTAGTTATATTTTAGCACAGCCTGGCAGTTATTTCCTCCAAAGATATGAAGGAATAAAACAGGGCTGAAATTTTAATATCTATGTAAACATCTAGTTTTCTTACACAATCATGTTTTCAGTATTGACGGAGGAAAAAAGAAAAGCATCATTTCCTTTGTACAGTTGTTTCTCACAGATTGTTTGCCTAAGATTCACAGTCACCTGAGCTAAGAAGGCAGACTATCACCAAGTTCTCAGAATAAACATTACCACTAATGAGGAAGTACAAAAGCTCTCAACAGCCCCCAAATTAATGAAAGAGATGTGTAGAGAAAGTGACACTGTAGTGTGCCAGGAATAAAATCATCCCAAGTACAGAGTTATGTGACACACCCCCTGATTATAGTCTGTACAATGAACAGACTATGTTGACTGCATAATTACTGTTTGAAGTTATTGTCTAGGCAGAAAGACAAAGAAGATGCATGCCCGTTACTCACTGAGCATCACGAGCACTGCCACTGTCACCAGCAGAATGGAACAAAGGATTCCGAGAGGTATCACAAAGAAGTGCCAGGATGCTGATGATTCTTAAATCAACAAAACAAAGTAAAGAAGTCATCATTGTTGAAAGAGCATGTCCCAATAGTGATAATATTTTGTGTAGCATGGAATCAAGGGGATATTGGTCTCTAAATATTTTATAGTAAGCCATCAGACAAACTGACTGAACACATGCACTCAAAATTCTTTCTTCCTAAAATGTACCCATTGCAGAAATCCTACATGTGTAAAGCTTCACTAGATTTCAAATCTTTTCAAAATCTTTGATCTTACATTCTCGGTCTTCTTAACTCAGCCTAGAAATAGCTGGATGGCAGTCATGTGCCCCTCACCAAGTACTAAGAATCAAAAGTGCATCCTTCAGAAAGCATTAGAGACACAGACACATTCCAAGCAGAAGATGATAAACTGGAGCATGTGGTCCTCCAAGGGAGCACAACTGAGGATGGGGAGGAAGGGAAGAGGGGTGGATGTTCTCGGGAACTGAAGGAAACCATGGTGGTTCTGGAGCTGACCTGTGTAAAGGTCCATTCTTGAAGGGGACTAAAGCTAACTCTCTGTTTTTTTTTTCTTTGTAAGTTCTATTTTCTCTAGATAATACAAAACATCTTCATTTATCTGAGGTGTTGGGAATCTGGAAGTCAAGCCTCTGATTATCACCATGTCAAATAAGTTAAAGTTTGTACCTGAGAGTTCATTTGTGACGTTATATATAGAGTCAAGAAAAAAAACAGATTAGAAGTTTTTTATTAATAAGCTTATTTCTCCTTTGACATTTTCAAAAACACATAATGTGGTTTAATGAGCTCCACCCTCACTACTCTCTTTCTCTCATCCCCTCTCTTTCTCTGCCCCTTTTTTCCAGGAAGAGACTCCCTCAACTAACTATGTTTGTTGCTTTATTATATTAGAGGTTGTGAATATTTGAGACAATTAAAATACCCTCTGCTAGAGTACAAGTATTGTTTCTAATGCATATTTTGTATTTCCTTAAGATTTAATTTCACTAGAGAATTTGGTGTTTCTTGAGATTACTGTTCCTTTTAAAGGTTCCAGAATTGTTCTTTACAAGACTAAAATAGATCTCCTAATTGTTTTTCAAATTTGACAGAATATATTTACATCTCCTTTTTCCATTCTAATAATTGTTCCTTCAACTCTCTCATTGTTCTAATTTGCCCATCTGGCTGTCTTTTGTTACTAGCTAATGACTAGAAATAGGATTATTGTTAAGTGGTGGTGGCACACACCTTCAATCCCAGGACTCAGTACGCAGAGGCAAGTGGAACTCCGAGTTTGAGGCCAGTCTAGTCTACAGAATATGTTTTAGGAGAGACAAGGCTACACAGAGAAAGTTTGCATTGCCAAAAAAAATAATAAAAATAAATAAATAAATAAATAAGATGAAACAGACTTTAGCCAGACTTGATGGTACATGCCTTTAATTCAAGCACTTGCGAGACAGTTTGAGCTCAAGGCCAGGCTCTTCTACAAAGTGAGGTCTAGGACAGTCAAGATTATTAAACAAGGAAATCCTGTCTCAAAAAACCAAGTAACAACAGCCACAGCAACAAAAGTATGATTAATGGTTTTAACAGCAGTCAATAGGATATTATTTTCAAAATCAGAAGTTTGAGTTGAATTAAGAACAGACAAATTAAATGCTTAAAACACGTACTTCTATGCCCAGCTACTCTGGACCTTTGTGCCTCATCAGGTCTTCCTCGGTTCTGCAACTCTGAAGACCTATGGAATCTCACAGTTGTGTAAGTGATTTCCTTGTCGGTCATCTTGGGAATATATGAAGTGTGGTCTATGTACAAATTTGATCTTGAGAGATTTCCAAAGAACAAGTTAAAATGTCTTTCTTCAGGAAGATACCTGGATCTGATGCTGCAGTGCAATAGGAAAGAAAGGGGTCTAATTAATTAATTTAATGATGCAAACAACCTAAATCACCTGGACCAGTCCTGATTTCTACTAGAGATGAGAACACTTTGTGGATTTCTGTCATTTATACATCTAATGGTCACAGGAGTTTTTATTAGGAAATGCAGAAAGATTATAAATTTAATAACAAGTGATTGTCATATTGACACAGTACATAAATAAAAATGTTACACAAAATTGGTACTACCACAAATCATTGGAATGCCTTTAAACTATCAATTAAATATGAAAATTCAAGGCTTTCCGAACAAATAAAAATCTTTGTTTTAAAATTATTTACATAATTTGATAAACACATGAATATAAAAATGTTTTTTGTAGGCTTTTTAGTCATACGTGACTATCCGAGTTTTCCAGGTACTAGCTTTGAAGCAATATTTGAATATTAATACTACTTACTGGTGATTAACATTATGGACTCCAAGTACATAAATATCTCTTGTGTTGAAGCCTAAACATCTGATATTTTCACCTTCTTCACCCAGCCACACCCACACATTTTTCTCCAGGTTCTGGCCTGCTAAATGGATACCAATGGAAAATCCTACCGAGTGGGAGCACAAATTCAGAAAGACAAATGCTCCATGTTCTTTTGCATCTAAGGCTTCTGGCTCCAAGTATTCACACTTGATAGAAAACCTGAGTGACTGCAGCAATCAGAAAAGTAGAAAGGGTCATTACACAGGGTGAGAGGATAATAGCAGGATACAACCTGAAGTTTAAATCACAAATGATTCCATGTACATAAACATTTCATGTATACTATTGTAGTATATGATATTGTCAGAGGAGCATATATTTAAATAAACTCTATCATTATGCAGTCATTAGTTCATGTTCATAAAGGATACAGTCTGATAGTAGGTAGCAATATATTACTAAATAGTAAATATTTATAACTCATCTTGACCATTACCTTCATAACTGAGATGGTAGCAAATAGATAATACAGAAAGCAAACTGTGCATGGATTGATGCTTCACTAATTTTAATTTATGAAGTTTTCTGAAATTATTCACATTTTTCCTAATTTCTAAAGTAAAAGGAATTTTTCTATTATATACATATATTTACTTTTTATTTATTATTATTGTTGTTGGGTAGGAGCCTGTGCCATTGTGCACATGTGTACAGAGAACTTTACTGAGTGAGTCCTCTCCTTCCACGTTTATGTGGGTTTCAGAGATCAACTCAGGTGGTCAGTCAGATTTGTGTAGTACGTATCTTTACACACTGAGCCATCTTACCTGGTTGCTATTATGACTTCTTCACGATGAATAATATGAAAATATTTGACCCAGTTAAAGAGTCATGAACTCCGTAGATCCCTTCACCTTACTTACTTAGCACACAGTATGAGACACAGCGTACTCAGAAAGAAATCAGTGCCCAACTCCAATTTTCACATACTACCAGAATTAACAAAATCTAACACAACTAGCAGGGCTTCCCCAATAACCCAGCTCTTAAGTTAAAGAAATTCTATACAGAATTTATATATGTATATAGAATTCTATATGTATATGGAATTACACTGAAATTCTCTAGTGTATATGCGATCATGTGATAGAAAAATAACAATAACAGTTGTTACCTGTGTCTCTACCAGGAAGCAATTCTGGTGCAGTCAGTCAGTTGATCCTCCAAGTGGCCTGGATTCTCTCAGAGCTCCAGGAGAAAAGTCAGAACTGAGTCGTCTCTGAGTGATACTCAAGCTCATGACTTTTTGCCCCTCCTCTTGACCAAAACAAAAAGAGGAAATTGTATGATGAAAGCTGATGCTGACGGAAAAGAAACAACCAAGCTACCATATCAGATAGTGTAAATAATGTCCGTAATCAATATTTGAAGACTGGGCAAATGTGCATAACTGTGAGAAAGTAAAACCAGTATCCTTAGCAAAAACACTAGTAAAAAGAGGTGAGTGCAGATGTTCCACTCTTAATTTTGTGATAGGTTGATTGAAGTTTTTTTCTAACATTACTATTTGAAAAAACATTAAAATTACTTTTTATTTTTGAATTATGTTTATTACAGCTACGTGTGCCCTAGGAATTCCTTTAAAGCACTAACGTTTGTGCTATAACACTCTTACTAAATGCTATCTTTCAGCTTCTTATTCATAGAGAATGTTGACACTAGTCCTTTATGTCATTCTATATGAAGTGGTTTCATTGCTGATGTTTTCATGGAAGTGTGATATCAAATCTAAGACATTCTGCATGCTCAGCAAATGTTCTAGGACTGAGCAACAGACTCAGTTTTTGATTATTGGTTTGTTTTGAGATTTTTGGTGGTTTTTATTTTCTTTATGAGACAGTTATTATATCGTATTTATTCTGCAGTCCAGGCTGTCCTTAAACTCTGAGTCCTTTTAACTCAGTCTCTTCATTCCTGGAAATTTAGCTGTCCACCAACATACACATTTATGCCATGTTTTTAATTTTACTTATCTAATAAGTAATAAGCATTTTCCTTTTGTAAATATTTATTTACATATTTTAAAGACATAATTATTAGTTATTTCTATATAGACTAAATTAAGTAATTGAGAATCTCCTACTGTTGAATATTTAAATTATTTACTCTATTTTATTGATTATTAATTTAAAAACTATATGGACTATACTTTAGAACATACTTAGAAAGACATTCTATGTGTGAAGTCATGGGATCAAAGGAAATAGACATTTAAGGAGGTGTAGTATAGATTTTCACACACACTGTAAATCATTTATAGTCCACCAGTTGTGTGTGAAAACATTCACAATTACTTTGCTTAAAGCTGAAATAAGTTGATTTTTTTCTCTATGAGTTTTGCCCATAAAGTTTGTGATGAGAATTCCTGCAAAGAAGCTGTATCAGTAAAGATTGATTTGCTCATTTCTGATTAAAACTATAGTGAAGTGGAGAGGTTGGGATTCCGTAGCTACAGAGACTAACTACTTTACTACATAATAGCTCTAGCTCCTACACAGCCATTCTTTGGCCACCTATGACAGAATTAACAACCTGTAACTAATAGATAAAAACTTTGTGAGACTTATTATCTTAGCCGACCACTAACTTTCACCAATCTGAAAACTAAACTTGTCATCTGATGACCTATAGAAAAGCTTCCCCCGTCTTGCTGTAACTACCTCCTGTTGTCCACCAATATATCTTAAATTTGCTTGATTTATAAATTCCTCAGTTCTTTAAAATTACAGAAACTTCATGAAACTCATTCCACTTTGGAATATGGAGCCATGGTCACTTAAAGTGACTGCTGAAGAAACTATCTTTTGTTACCTTAAAGGGAAAAACTGATTTTTTGCATCAACAGGACTTCCCTCAAAGGTCTTGGTGAGGCCTCACAATACTGATTGCTGACTTTAGAAGCATCTTTGGGATTGGGGTATAATTCAAGGAAGGGCTTTGTTTGGCACATGCAATGGCCCAGACTAGATCTAAAACAGCACAATGATGATGGTGAGGATGATGAGGAATGAGGAAAACAAGGCTATTTGATTCCTTTAGTCTGCCGCTGTCAGCTAACCCTTGACAGAATTTCTCAATAAACTTTAGTTTCATTTGATTGTAGGTTTTCTAACCTGATGGTTTTTTTTTATGAAATAAATATAAATTGAACATCAGATCAAGATACAGAAATTAATGGGACACTGGAGAATGGGGAATGGATTGGAGAAAAGAAAAGGAACCGATAAACCAATGAAAAGCCTGACCCCCTCTTGACTATAGCAGAGGCAAACTTCCTGCTTCTCTCTTGTTGTCAGTTTAAAAAAGCAGCACCAGAACAAAAGATGCCATGCAACAGAGACAGGTAGAGAGATTTTTTTTGTTGGGGGAAAGTGAGTGGGAAATGTGTGGAGAGGAGGAAGGGAGACCAGCCTTTGGGGACAGGAATGACAGAAGATATGAGAGAAGCAGAGAGAGAGGGAGAGAGAGAGAGAGAGAGAGAGAGAGAGAGAGAGAGCGAGAGAGAGAGAGAGAGACTGGAGGTGGGCAAGGCCCACCCTTTTAAAATGAAGTGCAGTGAATGTGGACAGGATGTGCTCTTATTGATTGTAGCTGAGGTTATGTCCTGTCACATCCACAAGAGCAGGCCATTACAGATGCCTGAATACTAGCATCTCTTCTTTTACTAACTTCTAGCCAGCCTTTAACTCTCAGTCCCTTAGTCTTCATTCATTTCTACCTCTTATGTTTGCTGCTAATTAATTTAAAATGTAAGACCATTGTCTTACACGGTTTGTTTCAGTCTCCTTACATGGCTCCTTTTGTAGACTGAAAAAAGAACTTTTAAATTTATTATTATTATTATTATTATTATTATTATTATTACTTCTGATCTAATGATTGTATTGAGTTTGAATACATTTATTCCATGACTTACAAGTGGGGGTAAGAGGACAGCTTTGGGAATTAGTACTTTTCTCCCACTTTGGGTTCCATGGATCAAATCTGAGGAGGTTATCAGGCTTGTGTGACCAGTGCTTTACTCATGGAGACATTCACGGGTCCACTTCACGATTCTTAAACCATTATCTCTGAGTCATCACTCAAATTTACCATTATTACACACCAGATGTTTTCCAAAACAGTTCACAGACATTGATTCATCTCAACAGTGTAAGACAAATTCATTGGGTGCTTCCAGAGTGCCTCTAGCTAGTCACTTTCATCTCTATCTCCAATAGAGCAGCATTGAGGAATAGGGCACAGGGGAGCCCCTTCTTCCATAGGTGACTGTCGGGAACACCTGTGTGGACCTACTGCTACTGCTCATAGGCACAGCAGCTATGACTAAGCAGGTTCTTTGTCTAAACACCTTCAACAACTCCATAACACCCACACTATTTTTTTGTTTCTTTTTTTCTTTTTTCTTAAAGAAGAAATGATATTGTCTTATTTTGTAGAAGAGCACAATAAAGTAAAATAAATTGAATTTTTTTTTAAATTTTTGAGACAGGGTTTCTCTGTAGTTTTTGGTGCCTGTCCTGGAACTAGCTCTTGTAGACCAGGCTGGCCTCGAACTCACAGAGATTCGACTGCCTCTGCCTTCCGAGTGCTGAGATTAAAGGCGTGCGCCACCACCACCCGGCAAATAAATTGAATTTTATGGTAAACAAATGAACTGAAGAAAATATTTGACAGTACTGTTCCTTGACACTTATGTTTGTACATCTTCAGAGGTAATCCTGGGTAAGATATTCCACATATTCTGATACACTTGAGAAATATTATGCTTTCTCACCACTTTATTATTTGAAGCTAAGTATTTTATGAATCATCTTATTGTCTTCTATCAAAAGATATTAATTAGGACATTAATTTAAACCACACTTTAATGTAATTTACACTACATAGTTATATTGCAACACAATCTTTTTTGTAGAGGGAAAAATTCAGTTCATAAACATTGACTGATAATTTTGAATTGCAGTTAAAATGATGCTTATCCTAAAACATTTATTTTTCTATTGCCTTAATATCTTTTTATCAGCAATTCTTGGAATCAATTAAATAGTGGGAAGAAGAACATTAGCCATTCAGTTATAACAGACATGCAAAACAGCCTCCCCATCTCTGGAAATAGAAGATGTTTTCCTTTGGTAGCACAATATAGAAAATGTGGCGAACATGGGTATTGTTTCACTCTGATTTGAACACTATAGGTAGGTCTTTTTGGTTTTGAGCCTAGCCTTTAATGGCTGAGCCATCTCTCCAGCCCTGTAGGTAGGTCTTTTGAGTAGATTTGTACCAATTTTACAGGCCCTTCATTTGGTAGGCTGCTAGTGCAACTACTCTCACTGACATACTGGATGACTGCTTCAATGAAATCTGAAATCAAGCAAATGTATTTGTTCTAGTTCAATTAAAAGAGGCCTTCAGGTTTAGTGATAAAAGTTTAAGTGGACTTAGTCAGTAGAAAGAGGCCATGATAATCCCATATGATGAGTAGGAAACACAACTCTCTCAAATGATAAATCTGTGAAATAGTGTTACACAATGTGCATATAGGGCAGAACAACTGATGTGAAGTTTCCAGTTGAGAAGCCTGGTTGGTTATCAGCTGTTTTACATGGGCGTGTGTAGAGCTGCGTTTCAGTAGTTTGCTTGACTCAGTTTGTTCCCCTTGAGCATATGAAAAGGATTCACAATGATGTTTTGCTTATGGATAATCTTCCTCCTAGGCAAATGTGTGTATAATCATTTATAGTGTTATTTTTCCTTGAGGATTTTAGATTTGGAGGGATCATGGGTCTCTTCTAGATGTAAGTACCTGCATAGGAATCTGATCCCTGAAGGGGCATTAACCACCATGATAATCATTTCACTTGTATAAGGATCCTAAATTGTTTTCTGACCCTTTCACTCCGAAGAAGTAAAATATGTTCTTCTGGTTCTTTCTAACTGAAACTTAAAATTCTTGTGTTAATTGAGTCTTTTTTTGCAGTTCTGGTAATGAAAAGCAGTATACTTAGATAACACCACTTATATTTTCAGTTTATGAAAATCATTGCCTGCTCTAGCAACGTAGCTTCATTTTTTTTCTCCCTGTTTTGTTTTTGGCAAGATAGGGTTTCTCTGTAGTTTTTGAATCTGTCCTGGAACTTATTCTTGTAGACCAGGATAGTCTCCAACTCACAGAGGCCCCCCTGGCTCTGCCTCATGAGTGCTGGGATTAAAGGCACATGCCACCACCGACCGGCTTCACC